AAATTTAATTGAGTAGAGGATGTATATAGTAACTAATTTACTTTGCTCTTGATAATTTTTTTCTAAACCTACACTGCCTGCACTTTTTTTTGCAAATTTGATAAGAATTACATGCAGCAGCAAAAATATGAATATTCCAATATATCAACTTGCCTAACAAAGTTCTATATACTATTAGATTTGCAAGGAATCTAATGTAATTAAATGTATTGATCTCATTAAAAAATAACCATATATGACCATTATTTGTATACTAAATGCTTGTTTTTATAAATTCATAGATCTGATCTTCTTGTACACCAGCATGAAATAAAAATACAATAAATTTAACTTCAATAACAGTTGCTAAAAAGCCAATTAGGCTTGTCTTTTAGAAAATATTAGAATAATTAGGCTTATTTTTCAATGTTTTTTTTTTATATTTTATTTTATAATTTTATTTTGAGACTTTATTGAAATTTAAGATTTATTTTATATACATTTTTACTACCTGCTTCTTCACATGTGACTACTGGAATACTTGCTCTAGCTCTTAATAGTATCAAAGCCATTTTAAGATTATCAGCTAACAATGCATAATTAGATAACTTCAGTTTACCAATCAATTTTTACACTATATGCTTCAATTTTTCTAATAAAGAACTTGCAGACATAGTATGATAATCATCTAACTCCCAAATTTTTTGTTCTTTTGATAGAGAAGGATCAATTTGATGACTACTAATCTTCTGATTAGCAGTTGTTTCACATTATTTGAAACATTATCTTGATCATGATAAAGAGCACAAATAGAATCAGAGATTTGAGACAAAAAGAATACTAAAAGTGATTAGAGATGTCCCATTGAATGATCTTCTCCAGCTGATCATTATATATGTTCTGAGTTAATTCAAATTGGGCAGTTTTTGTGGCAATTGAACATGGTTCAAAATCCTTGGAGACTTCAAGCAATGTTTTCATCAATGTAGTATTAATGTCCTTATTCCCTACCATGAGCTTCAGATTATCAACAGTGAATGAACTTGATGATAAATAAACTAATTGATCAGCAAGTACTTCTAAAAAAAATTTGACAAAGTGGCATGATGTGATATTTTCATCATTATTATTCAGGAAATATTTTTGCAATAATTCAAGACATCGTTTTGATTCTATAGTTTTATTCACACGTCTCTGTCCAGTGAACGGAATATCTTTTTCACAAAGCTTATTTTTATTATATACATCTAAGTAATGGGACACTATTTGAATTGGGTTAGAAATTTCTTGTGAAACAGCAAAATCCTTTATATCCCATTTAATGTGCATCCTATTAAAATGAAATTGAATTTAATAGGCTATCATTTTCTGTTGATGCAATCTCATCAGCTAATGCTTTAATGGTATCTGGTCCAAAATAATTCGATTGAAGATTCAACATGTTAAGGTAGAGCTTTTGCAAAGAGCATCAGCTAATGCTTTTCCGACATCTAATCCAAAATCATTCGATTAAAGATTTAACTCTGTTAAGGTAGTGTTCTTGCAAAGAGTATCAGCTAATGATTTTCCTCCTTCTGATCCAAGATTATTCAAATAAGAAATAATGGCGTTAATGTAGTGTTCTTGCAAAGAGTATCAGCTAATGCTTTTACGACGTCTGATCCAAGCTTATTATAGCAAAGATTCAAATAAGTCAACGTAGTGTTCTTGCAAAGAGCATCAGCTAATGCTTTTCCCCTTCTAATCCAAGATTATTATCCCAAAGATTCAATGTTGTTAAGGTAGTGTTCTTGCAAAGAGCATCAGCTAATGCTTTAACGGTGTCTGGTCCAAAATAATTCAATTGAAGATTCAACGTCATTAAGGTAGAATTCTTGCAAAGAGCATCAGCTAATGCTTTTCCAACATCTGATCTAAAATCATTCGATTGAAGATTAATGTAGTGTTCTTGCAAAGAGCATCAACTAATACTTATCCTCCTTCTGATCAAATTAAGAAATAATGTCGTTAAGGTAGTGTTTTTGCAAAGAGTATCAGCTAATGCTTTTCCGATGTCTGATCCAAGATTATTTCAACTCTGTTAAGATAGTGTTCTTGCAAAGAGCATCAGCCAATACTTTTCCTCCTACAGATCCAAGATTATTAAATTAAGAAATAATGTCATTAAGGTAGTGTTCTTGCAATGAGTATCAGCTAATGCTTTTCTGACGTCTGATATAAGCTTATTATAGCAAAGATTCAAACAAGTCAACGTAATGTTATTGCAAAGAGCATCACTAATGCTTTTCCTCCTTCTGATCCAAGATTATTATCCCAAAGATTCAATATCATTAAGGTAGTGTTTTTGCAAAGAGCATCAGCTAATGCTTTAACAGTGTCTGGTCCAAAATAATTAGATTGAAGATTCAACGTCATTAAGGTAGAATTCTTGCAAAGAGCATCAGTTAATGCTTTTTTGACATCTGATCCAAAATTATTCGATTGAAGATTTAACTCTGTTAAAGTAGTGTTCTTGCAAAGAGCATTAGCTAATACTTTCCTCC